GAGAACGATACATGCGACGTGAAAAAAAAATGCGCGACTCAATAGTAAGAATCTTCTCGAAAGTTTCGGATGATTCTGGCATATTTTTCAAAGCCCACAGATCTTCCTGATTCAGAGTCGCGGAGATTGCTTTCTGGCTTTGTAAAGTGTCATAGATACCTACAAATCGCTTTACGGTACCATACTCAAGCCAATATTCAATGAATAGAATGCAAATTATAAAGATGGAAAATATACTTATGTAAAAATATGAGCGCATGCTGTGCGAAGTTGGCAGTGCTGTTAACCAGTTCTATCATCAAAAGGTGCATCCGTGTACTAATTTGTCAAACACATACAAATCCTTCCAGAAACCTTAAAGTAAAAGAGACTTCTAAGAAATACAGTTGTGTGAAGAGCAGATTCCATAGACCGAAGGTCTAGGGTGTGGGTGTGTGGATGTGAGTCTTAGAGTCATCTCTTAACCCACACCCACACCCTATATCTGAGATTTTTCCACGGTGTGAGTATGAGGTGTAGGTGTGAGGTAGAACAACATCAGCCCGCTCAGGCACATACTTACACCGACACCAATACCGCAAAGTATTCCTAATATCCAAATTCAAGTTTAAGTCAATGCGACATGACTGGCATCTAAGCCTGCTCACATTGTGTTTTTTTCTGGCTTAATATTCCATTATTCGCATTTGCTTTTCAGCAGACGGTCTGGTTCATGGAATTTCTTGCTACTATGACTGAAAGAAGGTAATATAAACAAATATATAAAAAGTGAAGTCATATTATTTTACGATTTAAAGAGAATAGCTAGCTTCTGCTCAGGTGCGTTGAAATAATGGAGCGACTAGCCGTGAGTGGCACCGACGAACGATCTGGTGCTCCTATCTCAGATTCACTGTTGATTGCCTTAGAGATCTATATGCATGCCAGGTTTTTTCGGAGAAAACTACACTAAGGTTCTCTTAATGAGGAATTTAAGTGAGCTTCTGATTGGCTAACTAGACAATGAAATTAAAGACATAAGGAATAGTTCACAAAAAAGTTTCGGCTTTGAAGTTTCTCATGGAGAATTCTCGTATTATAACTCTAACGACTTTTGGAACTGTTATAGTGTCATCAGTGATATATGGTATTTTCCTTTTTTTCTTTTTTCTTTTTTCCTATCGTACATAGATGATACGTGCGATACACATATATATCTTTTCTTCTTTCCTTTTCTTCTCTTCTCTTAATATAGTATAGATGTTTTCCATCTCATCATGTATTCTTTTAAGTATTCTTAGGTTTTTTCTAGTTCGTTCATCTATATATAATTGTCGTTTTGAGAAATAAAAGAGTGTGTGATTATTATTATTGATTAGTTGGATCGAAACTACCCGCTAACAGGAATTAAGCGAAATCTAGAATCTGAAATGGTGTAAATCAAAGAGAATGGTCTTGTACCGGAATAGAATTCAGTATAGTAGCGACTAGCCACAAATGGCGCCTGAACGGGACGCCGGCTTGTGACTAGCTGCAGCTCTGTGAAATTCCCTAAAGAAATGCTCCAGATTGTTGTAATCCATCAGAAAAATGTCTACAGTAAAGATCTAGCAGGTTCGATAGAAATCAGAACTGTCCAAAAAGACTAAGAAATGTTTTCGAATGAAATGTGAGAACAGTTATGCTGCACGTGCACAGTTTCTGAATAGAACATTCAACGAAAAATATCATGCAAAGAATTCAGTTCTGTCCATTCAAAGTAGATTTTAATGAAATAAAATAAGCTTTTCTGTCATTATGTGTCCATGTCTGTGTGCATTTACTCGTCTAAATTTATTTGAGTACTATGAAATTATCTATCTAATCCGATGACTACTTTGAGTACGAGCGTCATTCAAGTAGCGTATTTCGAGAATAAGTCTGATCAAATATGATTTATTTTGATCTAAAAGTTCAGCTATATACGTATTTTTGTAGTGGACACTAACAAATGGTATTGTCGGTTGATGTGCTGGTAACTATACAGGTTTTTACTAGTTTTCACGCTGGTGTCGTAGATGTGCTTTCTTTGTTGATTGTCTCTCGGTGCATTAAATGTAGTCTCTTTTCCCGGGACACGTGGATACGCTGTCATAGTGTTATTCATTTAGATTTCCGTTGGATATCATTGAGAGCGTCTTAGTTTCGTTGGATGAATTTATAACAAAACGTATCACAGACATGCGCATGCCATTGCACACAACGACATTGGTGCAAATGTCGATATTTGCATACACACGCACCCTTTTCAAACTTTTGATACTAGCTGTGTTGAGGACTGCAAATCAGTATGCAGCACCGAAACAGCTGAATATTCAGTTGAGGGTCAAGCGAGTCACATAGACGAGCATCACTTATCCTATACAAACCAAGGATTACACTACTTATCTTTCGGCTTACGTATATCATGGAGGCAGAAGTAACGGATAGTAGAAGAAAATCTCACAGTCATTTACATAAAAATTCTTATCGAATATGTTTGTTGTAATGATCATATTGACTCGAAGAATCATCGTCCATTTCATGGGTGGGTGTGGATCTTCTCTTCTCACACGCTCACACCCGCACTCACACATCGACAGCCATACTCACACACACCCATACTCTTTGCAGTTACTTATTCGAATACTTTTGTAGCTCTTAATGATTAGTATTGATATTGAAAAAATGGCTCCGGTTCTGAATCATATAGTGAAGATTAAAGGTATACAAGATTCCAACAAAGCCTGTGTATGACCACACATTCAGAGTATTCAGAATTTTTTGTAGTCAATCTTTGGTTTTTACTCGAATGTATCTATACAATTTTTGTTCAGAATTAAGTTCTCTATCGAATGGTATGTAAATCGTCTGTCAAAGTACGTATATACACCATCTAAAATGAATGATTATTTAACCCATAGAAGGCTCAATAGGGTCTATATAGCTGAGTATCAAAGCAAGGAAAAAGGTTGACCGATCGAGCTGAAACTGATAAGAGTGACTACTGACTCTAAGCCCTATAAATGCTGAAAGTTTCATGTGAAACTGCTTGTTTTCTATAGGGGCCAATATCAAAGCAAAACGTTCTCCGTCCTTTTCGAAGAAGACGCTACTGAACACATTCAAAAGACGGAAGTTCGTGTTTCAGCGCAATTCAATCAGAACTGCATTTCATGCGTCTAGATACGGATGTGTTCAATAGCGGCTAAAATGAAACATTTGACGTGTCTAGACACATCTCTACCTAAAAGTCGATAGAAACGCGTCGAGATGCGGCAAATGATTCATTTTAGATGCATTCAAACATGTCTGTAGTGCGCTTCATATTTACCTGGGAAATAAATTCAAAGAGTGCAGTTGTGTTTCACCATTACTACTTTTTGTAGACTGAAATATATGGACGAGTCGTCATTGAAAGAAACGAAAAATAAAAGAAAGAAAAAAAAATAGGAGAAGAATGAAAAAACCAAAAAGAGAATACACATGAATAATAATCTGATCTATTGCTACTACACTGTAACCTAAAAAATATATTACAGAGTATAAAAAAGAATGTTCTACGAATGTCCATATGAATTTGTAGACGAATTTCCACTTTCTTGAGAATGTGATATTTAAGAAGGTAGAAATAAGAAATCCGGATTCCTAATTAGAAAATCGAAGGTGAATTATCATGAACATTGCTATAAATTCACATAGAATTTAGCAATTCGAGAATTTTCTAGAAACTTGAAAATCTACTAATACATTCCTTTTCCAAGAGAAAACGTATTCAATTAAATAAACAAATAATTTTAATTCAAATAAATTTTCAAACATTGTATTCAGACAAATTTATCGAATAAAATAAATAAGTCATTTTAATTGTATTTTTAATAAATACGTAAACATTGAATTTATTAAATGAACTGAATAAAATGAATAAATAAATCGCTTTAGTGTAAATAAATTCATAAAACATTTTCTTCAAAATAAATGCGTTAAATAAAATAAATGATTCATTTTAGTTATTTTTCTAAAACTCATAGATATTAAATTCACACAAATGCGCAGTATAAAATAAATAATTTTCGTTTGAATAAATTTATCAGCATTGTATTCACATAAATGCATTCAATAAAATACATAAATATATATTATGTGTCCGTTCATGCAAATTGAGCTGACACATGCGGCAACTGAAAAAAATATAATTTATCAATACATTGTATCTACCAGCGAATAAATAATGAATGTACAACATTATCGAGCGACTCGAGCGGATACCTAATTCGAATTCGAATATAAATGAAACATGCAAAAAAAACCCGCTTTCATGTTCCGACAACGCAGAAGCAAAAGAAAAAAATTTCTAGTCCATCCATTGATCAACATTACAAACCAATATGCACACCCATATTAAAATAGCAAAAAAGCAAAATAAAAAGTTTATATAAATTATAATTTATAAATTCCAAGGCACATCCATGTTAAAATAGCAAAAAGGAAAACGAAATAATTTGGGTGTGGGTATGGGATGTAGGTTGTAGATGGGCACGAGCGTGGGTGGGTCTGGGTGACTGTGAGTGAGGGTGTAGGTCTTGGTGTGAGTGTCAAGGTGTCTCTTTTCAACACCCATACGAACATCCAGCTGCATCCACAGCCTACATCCACGCTCATCCACACCAACACCCACACCCTTTTAAATCGAAATGGATAATCTGATTTTCAGGCGAGTTTTTTTTGTACTTTAGGTTTATTTTTATATTGGCGACTTAGAATCAATTTTTGAATTTTGAAGCTCAGTCGATGAATAGGAAGCAGAAATTGACTCATGAATCGATGTCCAATGAACGTTAATTATGATATATTTATTTGAAGAAAAACAGAAGTAAAACATCAAACCACGCTATTTTAGTGTTCCTATCTAGAAATTGTCAAACACCAGATTGAAAAGAAGACATTTCTTTTGCCAATTAATACTAGGCATTTTGAAATTTCATTCATTTTTGATGAATCAATTATGCGTTTGAATGGTCTCCGAGCAATAGATATGTTAGGGTGATGTGTTTATTGATACCGATTAAATATGGATGATTGGCAGGGAGTGATGCTTCAAGTATTGGACGTGCTTTTTGAAGAAATGAGAGTGTGCGAGAATAATCTCTCATTGAAAAATACACACCAGCAATATTATTATAAATCATGCCTATATCTTGATGATCGGGAGGTAAATATTTTTCTCGAATTTCAAGTGCTTTTTGATAAAATAATAGGGCATTTTTGTTGTCACCCATATATTTATATGCGAGACCTATATTATTGTAGGTGGTGGCCAATGATGAATGATTGGAAGGAAGAGATTCTTCTTCGATTTGAAGTGCTTTCTGAAAAAATAAAAGTGCAAGAGAATAATCTCTTGTCTGTTGATATAATCCACCGAAGTTGTTATAGATAGCAGCCAGTGATAGTCGATCAGAAGATGGAATGCTTTCAAAAATTCTTCGTGCTTTTTTATAAAACAAAAATGCATTTGAAGCATCATCCATTGCTCGATATATTCCTCCAATATTACTGTAGTTGATAGCAAGGTCTCGAAGATTACGAGGACAGATTTTTTCTACGATTGCAAGTGACTTCTTGAAAAATGAAAGTGCACTTGATAAATTGCCTTTCAGTTCGTTAATATGTCCCAGATGTCCATTTAGAGAACCTAATCTTGGCAAATCATCTTCTGATGTTGTACTAAGCAAATTTTTGTAGATTTCTTCAGCCTTATCGAGTTGACCCATTTTTTCCAATAATTGAGCCAATCGATTCCATCCCTTTTCTCCTCGAATCTCTTGTCGCAAGTAATCGGTAAGAATTTTCAATTGTGGATCATCTTCATTCGTCAATTTTAATTCGACTTGCCATAAATTATTTTCAATTGGTTTGATTTCACCGATGCGAAAGACGGTATGCATCGAGAAGAGAATTTCTTTTTCGCTCAATTTATAATAGCTGATACTGTCCAAAGCAGCAAATGGAACTGATTCAATAGATGGATCGATTTTTATTTGAAAGAGAACAGGATTGAGATCAGGATTGTTTCGAGCTTTGAGAGCAAACCTCAATGACACTTGACGATTGGTGCTTGTTGACAAAAAATTGTTGAAAGATAATAGACCACCATTGCTATTTTTGAGTTTTTCGAAATCAACATTCGACATACCTTGACCTCGATATAGAATTAGTGATTGTTCATTATTTGATATTGAATATACTTGTTCAATTTGTCGATCAACATCTCGCATAAGAAAACCCATTTTGATAATAATTTCGATGTCTTGAGTTCGAAGAGCTTTGTTGAGCATCAAATAAATAAAACATTCTCGTGTGTATCACCAAATCGGCGATGGTCGATTGTAGTCTCGTTCGAATTCGGCAATTATTTTTAACTGACGATCATTGCCCAAATAATGCTCACGACAGAATTCAACAAGTTCACTTTTTGCTCTTTCATCATCATCGATCTCAAGAAGAATTTCTTTGAGTAACTTCGAATACATAAATGATTGATCGAGCTCATCTGTAGTCGAGCTCAAACGATCAGGCGAAGGAATAATACTTATCAAATTCATGTCATTAGTCAACTGTAATCTATCCTGTAGAAGTGCATCACTTAGAGATTCAATTTCAGTAAAGATTCCTTTCAGTTTTCTCCATTGGCCAATAGATATTTCATGGTTGGACATGTCCTTGCAAAGTATATAAATCGAGTCAAGCTGTGGATATTCATGGATTGTGGGCACAAATTGTGGAATCGAATCGCTCGAAACAATCATGAACCATTTCTCATGTTCAATTTTAGTAATGAAAGCTCTACATTCATCGATACTCTTGAATAATTTGATTGAATTTATAATGCATCTCAATGAAACAATTGAATTTTGCCAATCTTCATTTGTCTCATCGACGTTTGAATTCAACCAGATAAGAATAAAATCTTCGACAATGCGGGTGTTCTTGATTGTGTTCCTTTTCTGGCAGACTGTTGTTGACTGATGACTACAAGGAAATAAGTACACTGATAAATAAATGTACAGTATCAGTGAATAATATCTCAACGATATTATGCAATAATATACACAAAACAGTTCGCATTCCTTTGGCGAGTGATGGAATCAATTTTGTGTTGAATGGATTTATACCATTGTGATAGGGATTGTTCAGATGATTTTATTTTACTTGAAATACTGCTAACCTCAATTCTGTCGTCTACGTGATGAATATTCAAATGAATTCGATCTCATAACTCAAAAACATAATCTTATATAGTTTTGATAAAAAACAAGCGACATAATAGCTGGTTATCAAGGACACATAAATTAAAACAGTTGGATTGACTTTTAAAACTGTTGGTATACATATCAGATGATGTGAAGTAGGACCTATCTACCGTGTCATAAATTGGTTGTTTTCTTTCTGATGTGCAAGAGTTGAAACAAAAACTAACGATGAAAATAAAAGTTTGGTTATTTGTCACGTAGTTTTTCAACACTCGAATTTTTATTCGAAAAAAAAAAATCTTATTTGAGTTTGTCGTCTAATTCAAGATTTTTCATGCGAAGAGTGGCAAGAAATGATGCATACCTTTGTCGATCTGAATGGCTAGACGGCAAAACCTTTTGATCCATATTAACTGCTTGTTGAGCATGCTGAAGTGCTTCATCGTATCGATTAACTTGTTCTAATCCTTTGGTCAAATTAAAATGAGGCATAGCTATACTTGGATCATTTTCACTTAGCGATTGTTCCCTTATTTCCAAAGCTTTTGGTCCATATTCGATTCCCTCGATGTGGTTTTTCATATCTTGAAGAATACAAGTAACGTTTGTATACGCAACGGCTAAATCTGAGCGGTGCGCGGCTCCATCTTTGAGAAGCATTTGCAACGACATTTGGTGAGGTTTCAATGCTTCGTCAAGTTGACCTTTGCTTCTGTATACGGAATCCAATTTTCTATACGCAGCAGAAATTGAAGTATGGTCCTGTACCGGTTCTTGAAGATCAATAAAATTTTTATCAACGTTGTCATGTTCGTATAAAATGGTAGTTATAGGAGATAGTGTATTTCCGCCTTCAAGCTCATCAACGATCCCATATTTTTTTCTCAACGTCACATACTCATTGTGATGATACTGCAACAAATCTGCTCTATCTAACTGTTTAAAAAGATTACTTTATTAGTCATGGTGCGCTCAAACTCGTCTTGTTGCATACCTTGTGCACGATGAACAATGAAAGGTTTTTCATACATTGAAATTCTGGCATGAATTTCGCTAAGTTGATTGTGAAGATCTCGAATAAAGAATTGAATGATAACCAAAATTTCCACATCCAAAAAATGAATAGCTCGAGTAAGAGTACGTGAGACAAAACATCGTCGAGTATACCACCAAATAGGCGAATAGTGCTGCCCTTTCCCATAGATTTGCCGAAATTCATCGATCATACTCAATTCTTTTTCATTGTCAGCATAGTTTATATGACAAAATCGAGTAAAAATTTCTACAAATTTTTTCGATTGACTGATACCTTCGACAAGAATTTCTTTCAATAATTGATAATAGACAAAAGCTGATTCACCTTGTCCATGTACTCGAACAAGATCTTGTTCACATTGTTTTGTATCCTTTGTAAGTTGTTTACCGAGAGTATCCACATTAATAAAACCGGTTTTTACTTTTCGCGGATAATGCTCATGGTTCGTCGCCGTACCCATAACATAGATCGAATCAATTAAAACGAGATGATGGATTGAAGAAATCATACTATGAGCATCACTGATCGAAGTTGACGATGAAATGACAAAGAAAACTTTTTGATTCTTAATAAGTTCATTGAGAAATTTGACACATGTCTGATAATCATTGAATATTTGACTTCCAATTGATGATATGTTGAAATGCATTGATATTTTCTATAGCTTGTCTTTCATCTTCTTGACTTCTTAAATTAGGATCATACCAAACGAGAATAAGATTTTCAACGCATCGTTGTTTTGGTTCACGAATATTCATATATGGCGGTTTATTAGCAATGAATCCTGTTGCCATTAGGTGTCTTTTTCTTCTGTTCGATAAGCAAAACAAAAATAAAATATCGAAATATTTGCTTGTTTATAATGATGATCAAAGTCTCTACAACTTCACATTATTTTAACGTCGCAAAAAACATATTATAGCATGAGCAGAACAGAAAAAGCTGTATATTTAAACGAATCACCATGAAATGCACCAACTGTGGCGCTCCGTGAGTTTTTAAATTGGACCGAATTTTCGAGTAATTTTAGTCAATAGAGAAAAATTTTCTCTATCGAACTGCACTTTTAGGTTTTTTCCGGAAAAATGTCGCTACGTAGAAATAATCGTTACGATGTAACCAATGCAGATATAAGTCATCTATAATGGCCTCCACATTGAAATGTAATGCAATATGATGCCCATGGTTTCAATTGCGATCACCAGTGCGGCACAACTGCATTGCAGTTGCTAAAAAATAGACGACACGCGTGGCTACATGTGGGTGTGACTGATAGGATAACCTGCATCCACATCCACACCCGAGTACCTTGAGAACAAAATGAAGATTACCGACTTAAAGTTCTGATAATATTTATACGAAGAGAATCATAATATAATTGAATCGTCTTTGGTATAAATGTTGCTAATGTTAAATTTTCGTTATATGGTTTTTTTTTAAAGCTTGTCGCATTCTGGTTAACTATCGTATAGAAATACAATTATATTGACCAAAATTACCTCTTAAATTCATTTGAATAACGATATTTTTTTAATGATTTCTTGTCATTTGTATTCAAAGGTAATCGATTTATATCAACTATCTGTTTATTTTTGAGCAATCATATTAGAGAAAATAACAAATAAATATCAAAAACACAAAAAAAATAAGAAGAATATGAATTTATAGGAGAAAACGTTGGATTTTCAACGGCAGTCGATTTTCATGTTGTGCATTTTGTTGCTGTTGATATAGGTACCAACTTTGACTTGGTTGATTGATGTTTGCTGTTGATGAATAGCTCGAATTTCGATAGGTATCAAACATCGTGTAAAAGCATGGAAATCAGCTATACGAGCTTGTCTAGATGCTTCTAATTCTAATGAAATGATGTCAGACTTATAAAATAATACAAATTTAATCCAAGAAAGAGTTAGATTCATCTTGCTGAAAGATAAATATTGACTAACTTTTGAAACATATTGTCCATCGATCCATATTTGATAATTGGACTGTCGATCAGTTTTGTTCAGAACAATATGAATCCATCGATCAGCGATCGATACGTATTTTCCATTATCGCAATTATATTTTTCATCACTAAAGAGTGAAATAATCAGATTCGTGACAGTAAAATTTCCAAGTTGTATATCCAATTCACATTGATGAGGTAAGAAGAGCCAGAAAGCGAAAGAATAATAATGTAGAAAAAGATTTTTACAATCAAATAAATATCTTGAAATAGTCCGAGGCAGATAATTACATTCACTTGATCGAAGATTAGTAGGAAATAATGATTGATCGATATTTAATATTGACTGCCGTTTACAATCGCCGAAGTCAGCAGAGTTGATCATCAGAAATGGTATTCGTGAGCGTTTTAAAGATCGAGAAAACCATTGATTAAGAAAATATTCATCACTCATAATGAAAGATCGCCAACGACTACAGACATAAGCCATTCGAAAAAGATCTAACGATTTATCAGTATATCCAAGAATGTTATGTAATAACTCGCATGGCAATTGATCCATTTTGGTTGTTGTTCTTATTTGTTTCGTTGAACAGAAAATACTATGCATACAATTTGCATCTTATGTATAACCTTTTATTATAAACACTATGCAAACATCGGACGTGTATTGTTCTCTCAGTCAGTTATTGAATAATGAACATCGGTATAGTAAGGAGTGCGAACATGTTGGTAGATGGAAGATTGGTTCTATTTAGAGTATTTGAAATTTTTTCATAGTCTTCAGAATAAAAATGATTTTCTCCTCTTGATTATTTGATAGACAAACAACAATCAACTTGAATAGTTTCATAAAACTGAAATCAATAATTATATTTGCTAATATTCATTAGTTTAAAAATAATCTATTCTTTTAAAATTCAACAAAAATTTATTTATTTGTAAAATTTATCAATTTTCATTTAAACAACTTTTATTATTTGATTATTTCATTTGAAAATGAATTTATAAAAAAGATTAATGGAAAATTCTTGAATGGAATATTCACATACTACTTATTGCTTATTTATAAGTTTTCCTTGGATCATTATTTATCTCTTGTAAGACAAACTCAATGAATTGATTAGAATGTCTAGACATTAATTACTGTAACATCTTAAATAAATCAATCTAATACGATGCTTCTTTAACATGATCAAATCTCGATATTATTAATAAACTATTAAAATAGTTCGTATTTCAAATTCTTTGTTTGTTTTAAATATAATGAATATATTGTTCAAAGATAGAAATAATTTTCTTCACCATTACAAACGCATTTTCTTTATTATCTCAATAAATTTCTTCATAAATATGTTGTCAAAATTCCTACTCATATATAATAACTAAGAAAAAGAAAGAATTAATACAGTTATTAAGTATTTTTATCATCTATTTTTATTAGAGCAAGGACAGAAACAATATTTTACACAAAAATTCTAGTCGCAGAAGAAAAAAAAACTCAATATATCACTATCTTGGTGGATTCTGATGAATACAGTAATAATGAGAACTCATCAAGATCTAATAAGATCCAAAAGGATCCCGGTTACCTTTCTTGGCTTGATATCATAGTAGAGTTCAGTAGACTAGCGTGGATTCGGATACTCTTCAATTGAATTTCGTTAGATTTAAGTGGGCTTTTTTAATTCTAGTAACTTTTAGCGAACTTTGGTATAGTTGGATGAATCCATTCTAGGACTCATTAGGATCAAGGATCCACTTTTTTTCTTTGCATTAGAGATAATCATCTTGCTATGAATAATACTTTTACAAGATGTATCTATGCGATAAATGTTACGACATCTGGACAACTTCAAGCCCGATATGAAAAATAATATGGCTAGTGGACGGGTTGACAACAAAGATGGATGTACCATCTATTACAATTCTGGCTGTAAACGATCCACTTATTTCATGAACAGTCTCACCTCAGTAAATCTTCCTGCGTACATCAAAAACAATAATGCTGCTGTTAGATGTTACTATTGGTGTATCAGAATTTTAATCAATTCAATTTTAAACAGTTAAACTGTAATTTTTTGTCACTTTTTTTTCTTTTAATCAAGGAACACCTCAGTGGTTTCTTCTACATTCGGTGGCGCTGGGTATAAAAGCAATTTTTTTTGTTGCGACGGTGGCGGCAGCGGGGTACAGTGTACACGTCTGAATATTAGCCTATAAAAATATCAAATGACTATGCAACTAACACTAAAAATAACTATTGTAAATATTAGTCGTAGATAGGGTACGGGTGTCGAGAGTGGGTGAACAATACTAAGGCATCCACACTCACACCCATACCCTCTTACTTCGAATAAAAAAACCAGAATTTAATATAATAAGGGCACGTAAGAAGATCTCTATTTATTGCGCAATCGTGATGATAACTTCGAGTAATTGATAATGATTTTTAAACTCGTTTTAGACGATGTTGCTCTATATACTTCGAGAAAAACTACCTTCACTAATCGATTTATGCGTTGAAAAATTTCAAAATATTTCTTATAACTCTTATTGTTGTATAAGTCAATGATTGTTTATTTGAGATCAGCTGAATTTGCCATAAAAACAGCAATTTTTCATCGTTATCTTCGCGTTTAGGTTCAGTAAAAAAAATAATTTACATCGAAAATTCTATCAAACTTTATTCATTTCTATGACACCGACATTTTTTGCTCTTGGCAAAACATAAGTGAAAATTCTGTTGAGATATGTTTTCTAATTACAGATGTTTTTTATATCTGCAAGAGTCTGGCATTCCATACAGTGCTGAGAGATATCTGAGCCAATTGGCTTGTCACATTCGAATGACATTATATCCTTGTCTTGGGCGACAAAACTCAAGTATATTATGTAACTACTGAAGAGATCGATGTATGTCATAAATCATACCGTTCGTACGACATGACCTTTCTGTCAACTATCATTTCTTAATGTTCTCTCTATTTTCTTCTCTCTTCTTAATGATTGTCGTGTCCTCTTCCTTATTCTTTCTCTAATATATACATATGCCAACCGACACACTGCATGTCATCATTGTATGGTACAACCCTTGTACGATATCATCCTTGTAAGAGGTCAATGTTGTAACTTATGATCCTTCTGCAATATAGTTTTCGTGTAATATAACCTTCGTAATGGAAGGACGAATGTCTTCGTTCTGATTGTAATTTCTTTCTTGTTTTCTCTCTAATATATAAGCTTGTATTCTATGTAAGATAGTTACATTTGGATGTAGTGCACAGTCGAATAAACATTAAGCCCAATAAGGCTAAAGGCGTATGTGCCTCTCCATTTGTCATAACGGAAATTATTCATTTATTTTCCGTTAGAGTATCTCTTTTGATCTATAGTTAGACTTTTTCATGAGAATTTCGCTCTTCTCAAATTCATCATTATAAAATATAAATTAGACAAAATATTCATAAAATTATATATTATTCAAACAATCAGAACAATTTTGTAATTTAGTTGTTTTAAAATGAAATATTTTTGAATAGTGCAAATGACATAAATACTTTCAATGAGATAGAAAATAAAGAGTCTCAAAGAAAAAGAACAAATTCCAAAGACTAACAGAAGAACGAAAAACGTAAGAAGAAAAAAGATCAGAATACAGAAAGATAAGATAACCATGTCATTAAATGAGTATATAACGGTAACCATATATCATTTGGAGCAAAAAAAAACAACGATTGGCGACAATAAGGTAAAGTATTGCCACAGACAAAAAGAGAAAAAAAGAAATTGAGATGAGGGATTATCTTAGTTCTCGATGAATCTTTTGTTTGCTTTATATAAATTCATTGAAGAGAATTATTATCAATGTTTTACATGAATCCGTAATTCGATTCTTTTTACTTAGAACAATTGGACGAATAATAAAGTGAAGCGAATCATACGGATAGTAATACATCAACGAATCATCACAAAATAGAATTCAACATGGATCAACATTTATTTAATGTTTCAAATAATTCACATTCTCATGGTAAGTTTATCAAAAAAAAACAATGTGCTGATCTTTCGAATCAGCAAAAGACGGATTGAATGTCCACTTTTATCTCAAAATGTATCCTAACGATGACTAGTCCAAATTTCTATCCATCATGCGTACTCGTCTTAATAATGTAGTTGATGGACTTCATGGAATATGATAAGATTAACTCTTTACTTACAAGCGACATGTCCGCGACTATAGATATGAAAATGCAGACGAAAGTGTATGCTAGACTTTTGAACCAGAATTTAAAATTTTTCATGAAAAATAGCAGAAAGAAAATCAATAAAGAATTTACAATAGATCCAAAAATTATTGGCCCACTTATGTAGGAAGAGACTTTTCTTACTTTTTTCCTGATAAAATATCATATAGAAGGAATGAACAGCTGAAAATAAAAGCATATAAACTATAGACCACGGTCTATATCATGCTATGCATTTGAATTCTGAAGCTCATTCGATTTGAGCATAGCACAAGTATAGAAAGAGAAGCGCTAGTCTAAAAGTGAGCCAATCATTTTTGGATTCACTGTATTCGTGCTGAAAGATAAGACTAAAAATGAGAGTATGATAGATTCTACCATTTTGGCACATCTATGAAGTGCTTTGTTGAAATTATATTTCAAGGGAAAAAGAAAACTTGAATTTTTTTATGAGAACAAAAGAAGCAAATCGTTCTATCCGATTGGAAGCTCAGATCTAGTTCATGTTATGAATGAATCTGATTATTTATCAACTATTTTAAAGAAATGATGTAGCAATTGAAAAATTTCTTGTATTACATTTTACTTCTTTTTCTTGCCATTATTAATCAGTTTAAACGAGTTGTCAGGGTAGTTTAATCTAAATAAAATGGATTGTTTAATGTTTTTTAGACTAGTTCGAACTAGGATTGACCGTACATTCTGTAAAAAAAATGGATCAGTCATAACACGTAAAGGTGCTGCTTCAAACTAGTCGCATTGCTTGTTTTTGACTAAGGTTTCAATGGTCTGGCAGATGGACTGGAATTCTTCTCCCATTTAAACTGTATAAACTGATGTCAGTCTATCTTCATGTCATAGCCTGCTGTCAGATATTGAATATTGTCCTATTGGATGTTCAAATTCATTTTTTTTAATCTTCTATCTTTATTATTTTTCTGATCTATCGACTAGCCCGGACGGGATTAATGGACAGAAGGGACTAGAAATGAACGGATTCAAAGACGGTTTGGATGGGTCCAGACCAAAGGGAAAAAGACATTCGGGCATTTCGATCTATCCTCTTTCATTTCCATCCATTCCCAACCATTAGTATCGGTTTTATTTATTTGACAAAAAAAAGTAGTTGTAATAATTACAAATGTTTTACTGCTTATTACTGGTAATAAGTAATAATATTTTTTAATTAATTATCACCAATAATAAGTAATAACGAGTAACAAATTATTACTGTAATAAATTAACAACAAACAAATAAATATACTATAACGTTAACCGACAGAACAGGTAAGGTACCGATGCATAAATGTTATTTGTAGTTTAAAAGTAATTTTGTAGATCTTCTCAGAAGCTATGATTGCTTAGAAAAAACACTGTACGTACTAGAGGAATGTCTAGATTATTGATGACGAAAATTGTAGAAACTAGCAAAGAAAGAGAAGAGTGCTTTTTTGGTTTACATGAATAAGAATTCATCACGAAACTAAATTAATGTTCTACTTTCTGAATGAGTATGATTTCAACGATTCATAATCGTCACAGTCCAGAAACTATATGAAATATATTGATAATGCATAAATATTAGCACCAATTTATGTTGAGAAAACGAAATCTAATGTTATCATAATACAATAGTGTGACATCGAATATCTAATGTACAATTAAAAGTATTTCTGTTATCTTTTTTGTATATTACTTTTATTACATTGCAAAATTATTACTTATTACCGGTAATAGTAAACTGGCATCCCTAGCAGTTGTAATTACTTGTAAAATATGACACACATTTTCTTATCCGAAGAGTAGACGCTGATGTTAAAGAATGAAAAAAACATAGTCTGTGTAGGAAAATAGTTATGGTTATTTTCAATGAGTTTTTCATCTATTAGATTGGATCTAACGGGTATTCTAACATTTCTGACTAATCGTGTCGTCTGTCTTCACTTATTTTTTGCTCACTTTGATTCGGTCTTTTCAAGAATCTGAGCATGTAAACATATATTTGCGATATGCTGAGTATCTGTTGATGAAACTATGAGAAGACTCGTTAAGAAGCAAAATCGATCCTCTTCATAAATCTAGATTTTTCCTTACTAAATAGTCACATTAGGTTTAACAAAATTTTTACTACTAAAACCAGATCGATAGAATATGTTTTAACTAGTTGTGATCCTATTTATACCTAATGGTCACATACTGAGATATAAGTTATTAGCACTCACTACTCTGAAGGCTTTTCGTTATGGATTATCGAGATACGTACTTCGTTAGCTATAGTAAATAGCTATCGATTGATATATAAAGTATGATGACGGACTATTTCAATAATTCGTAATTATATAGGCAATTATTAGAAATTCTTATATCATGTTGAAGCTACTACATGACGATATAGTTATACTGGCTTATATTTTTTTCTAATCTTTTAGTAGGATTTACTAGCTCTAGTAAACAGTTATCGATTGGAATATAAACTAGATTGTTGATCTATCTCGATGGTCCATAATAGACAATCCTGAGTGTGATGAATGCTAATAGCTTGTATAGGTATATGACTATATGGTATAATTAGGATCATAACCGATTAAAACGCATCCTATCAATTCAGTTTTAGTAATAAAAAATGTCAGTCAATGACACTACAAAGTTTATTCTAAAAAAACAAATATTATGATCTAAAATGAGATAAATAAGATTCATTTTTAAGCTGTTATACTAATGAAATTTAGAATTATTTTGTTGTCTAATTTATTTTTTATTTTTTGTTTCTGTTTATTTAGGTTTTAGACATTTATCAACCGATTCGATAAGAATCTTTTTAATCGGTATATCATCTATTGATATTAACCGTTTAATTGAATGTACTACAAAATCATTAGGCTATCGTTTTATCAATATGAACGATGAAATTAAATCGAAAATAAGAGGAAACAATGAAAATGATTCTGATTCATTTCGTAAACTTCAATTAAATACATTTATGAGCATACTCGAAAATCTGAATAATATTAATGTTATAATATGGTGTGGAGATAATCTTATTGACACCGTTGAGATTCGTGACATTTTACGTCTACAAAAATTTGTCGTTTATTTAAATCAAATTCAAAATAATACTATAAAGAATTCTACATTTGCTGATAATAATCGTCGTACCTCTATTAACATACATAATAATTATGAAAATCGTAAATTAGTCTATCGACAATGTTCTCAATATGAATTTTGTATTTTGAAAGATGAAAATGATTGGACATTGATAGAAAAGAATTTATGTTATTTACTAAAGACGATTACAAATAATAAACGTCGATTAAAATCTGATCCAAGTTTTTTTCTTTCTTTAACTTCAAATAATCTATTAACAGTTGATAAAGATAAATTTCAATCGATTATCAAAGGATGTGATGCTATTGAATTAAGAATTGATTTACTTGATTCATATGATATAGATTTTATTGGTCAACAAATATCTTATATACGTAAAAATGCTTTTTTATTACCAATTATTTATACAGTTCGAAGTCAATCACAATATGGAAAATTTATTAATGATGAACAATTAATTTTTCATTTATTAACATATGGTATAAGATTTGGTTGTGAAATTATTGATGTTGAAACTTGTTGGAATGATACATTAAGATATGAATGGTTAAATAAAAATAAAGATAAACATGCAAATATTATTGGATCTATACATGCTGAAAAATTTGATAATATCGAACAAATGTTAATGAAATGTTCACATAATGGTCTAGCTGATATTATTAAAATTGTTATTAATTCAATAGATATAAAATATATATTACAGTTTACTAGTATTTGTAAATCATTTAAATTAGAAAGTCATCAAAATATACTTTCATTATGTATGGGTAATAAAGGCAAATTAACTCGAGTATTAAATGTATTTATGACACCGGTTACACATCCACTTTTATCATATGCATCAGCAAAAGGACAAATGAGTGTCGAAGAAACTCAATTATTACGTCAATCATTAGGTCTTTTAGAATCGAAAAAATTCTATTTATTTGGAAAACCAATTGAACATTCATTAACACAATTATTACATCAAACAGGATTTGATTATTTCTATTTACCTTATAAATATGAACTATGTGAAACAGATAAATTCGATATGATTGAATCTATTATTAAACAAACAGATTTTGGTGGAGCTAGTATTGCAATGTCTTTAAAACAATTTCCATTAGAACTTATAGATTATGTAAATGAATCAGTGAATATAACTGGAATTATGAATACAATCGTCAAATTAGACAATGGTCAATTGTATGGAGATAATACTTATTGGAAAGCCATCTACACATTATTAGATAATATATTAGTAAAGTCAATCAGAAGTGAATATAATGTTCTTATTCTTGGTACGAGTGGTATGGCTCGAACTGCATTATATGCTTTGAAAAAACTACAATTTACTGGTACGATATTCTTATATAATCCTCGTAATCCAGCAAAGGCAAAAGAATTAGCTAAAGATAATATCATTGCTGTAAATGAGCAAAGTTTTCTTGAAAATCAGAATATATATTTGATCATATCTACATTACCATCAATCAGCACATTTACATTCGACGAGAAATTTTTTTTTCATCAAACAAATAATTTGCCAATTTTATTTGATGTTAACTATGTTCCTTATCATACTTGTTTAACTAGACAAGCACAAAAATTCAATTGTCGTCTCATTCGTGGTATTGATATGTTTATCGAACAAAGATTCGAACAATTTCAATTATGGACAAATAAAGTTCATCTTGTCAGATCATTATTGGAACAGATTGTTAAACAAAAATACGATGAATTGTATATACAATCATTTGATACCTAAACAGACTAGAAATCAAGATTTTAAATGTGACTACATTATAGCGCAAAGAATTTATGTTCTGTTACATTTTTTTTCAATTGTTTTTTTTATTATAAACATGATATTTGTCAGTATGCCGACCCTATGAAGGCCAATTTTGTTCTCTGAGACATTGTTTTTTTTTCAACCTGACTCAAAGTTGTTATTTTTGAAATCAATCTTTTTTCATCTGTTCACATAAACAAATGCATGTCAGTGGGTGTGAGTGTTTTACTTTTTTTGAAACGATACTCACACTCACACCCCACCGTGTTCAATACGGTGGAACGCAGCACTATCATGTATGTTTTTCATTTTGAGTATGGAGAAAACTATTAGTACAAGTCAATAACAATTTGTTATTACATTTTTTGTAGAGCTTTTGACGACACATCTTTTAACAAAAAAAAATCAAGAAAAAGTAAGAAAGAAAAATATCTACTATCGGAATTTTAAAAGAAGGCACCTGGAAAAAAAGCTTATAACTTTCGAACGAAAAGTCATGGCGACCTGCAGTTTTCAGCAATCGACAGAAGATTATAGGGGACACATTTTTATATAAAAATCAAGGTTTAAATAATCGGTGATTGTGGAATCACTGAAAGAGTAGGCTCGTTATTTGGTAAAATCTCAGCAGAACAAGCTGAAACTTTCAGCATATATAGCCCCACTGTACCCCAATCTTCGCTGAAAATATCATCGATAAATCTTGTAATGACGAGGAATGGTGAGCCAATCATCATCTGGCCTTACATAAGACTCTCATTCACTCAAAATATTAGGGAATGCCCTCAACTTTTGGCTGAATAAACACCATAATCTAGACTTCATATCTATGCAATTATATCATAGTTTGATTAAATGAACGAGACGAGACGGTGAAAATATTACTAAATTCTGCATTTCTCTTAAGAAAGTTAGAAAGATTTGTTTTAAAATACTTACTGTATGAAAATCATTTCTTCGTCGAATTTTGGCTATTTCCGTACATTTTTACGATCAAAGTGCGATGCTATTGCATAGATATGAAGTCTAGATTATGGTATTTATTCAGCCAAAAGTTGAGATTATTTCCTAATATTTTGAGTGAATGAGAGTCTCATGTAAGGCAAGATGGTGATTGGCTCACCATTCTTCGTCATTACAAGATTTATCGATGATATTTTCACCGAAGATTGGGGTACAGTGGGGCTATATATGCTGAAAGTTTCAGCTTGTTCTGCTGAGATTTCACCAAATAACGAGCCTACTCTTTCAGTGATTTCACAATCACCGATTATTTAAACCTTGATTTTTATATAAAAGTGTGCCCCCTATAATCTTCTATCGATTGCTGAAAACCGCAGGTCGCTATGACTTTTCGTTCGAAAGTTATAAGCTTTTTTTCCAGGTGCCTTCTTTTAAAATTCCGATAGCAATTAACATGTATTATGTTCACATGATGCACGAGAGTTCACTTTCAAAGTCAAGTGAGAAAAATCAAACATGCCAGATCTTTCGAATCTTGGTAAATCTCCAATGTTGTCCAGTGTAATCATTATCGTTGGTACCCATAAACGGCATATTATTATCCGCATATACATCCAAGTACATATTGTTACTTGTAAATTCATTGCTTAATCTAAACATTCCATCGTCCAGAGGAGTCAGATGCCAACGTTGTCCACTGTAATATTCCGTTCTGGCCATATTCAATTTGGTGTTGATTCCGTCGTTGATAATGTCGAGAGAATAGTTATCTTTAAGAAAGAGAGTACGAATATTGTAGACATTATCACCAAAATTAACAAAACGCCAAAATTGACCCGTGTTACTGCTCACTGGAGTCATTTTGAGAGTGTACTGGCCGTCATTGTTGACAACATCCAACGCCAGATATGGACCCGAATAGGCATTTGTCAGACGATAATAGTAGGAATCATTGATGGACATTGAACTGTTTTCCATATTTGAAGTGAAATCTTCATTTTGTTCGTTGTAATCTTCGTGATCATTATCTATTGAAGAATATTTTAACGTAAAGAAAAAATGTTACTGATAGTTTTTTTTGACACTTTCTGACATGCGATGGCCCATAACAAACTTAGATATGTCATGAGAAAGTTAGGTCGAGTTTTTCTCTCGCATTATACAAATACTTCTATATAATGTTCATTAAAATCTGTAATACTGTTTTTCTTTTCTCTTAGCATACATCATAAACAATGAAACTGGTAATATTTTTAGATTTGTAAAACCTGAAAAATGAGACGTAGAGTAAACTTCACCAATAGCAGAGAGTTTATATCAAATCATTAGGTAAATCATTCTATGCATGTTTCATCGTACACAGGTTCTAGAAATCTAAAGAAGTTATCGATTTTTTTTGATAATAATGTTATAGATACAATCAGACAGAATAAGTCGAGTCGGATTGAATGATATGAGTATGTTGTCGTGACACAACGTCGCCGAGTGAATATTTATAGAAGAATGAACAGGTCATCTAGATAAAAGCTGTCAATAAACTTGGCTTTTGATAGAAATTTCAAGATAGTCAAGAGATAGGATAGTCTTCTGTAGCATATCGATACATGTCATAAGATAGGATTTTATGAAAATAAATAGTGAAAAGCGCTATAGTAGTAGAATAGAGTTCTTAAATCATTATCGTTATGATTAAGAAATAATCTATTCAGTTTGATTTGATAGTATCTACCCGTATCAAGTACAGCTCTGAGATTGATATCATCACTCGTTCTGTACACACTTCAATCTAAATCATTGTTATAAATATTATGTGTTCGTTAACTATGATAGAAAGAATAGTAAAATCAAGAGAAAAACTAGAAAACTTCATCCGAATGATATATCGATTTTGAGAGTAAAAATAAATATCCAAAGAAGCAAAAATCAAAACAAAATGAATACGATGGATGCTATAATTTTTTTTGATCAACTCTTTGCAGATAGTTCTGTACAGATGATTAATTGAACCATATCGAAAAGATAGTCAGTTTTAATTAAGAGTGAGTGACTTTAATTATACCTCGACTGGTTTTGGAAACATACTTACTTGTCGAATGATCTTGATCAAACTCTGTATTTGTATGACTTGATGATGAGACAAGCTGTGATTTTGTTTTCATATCAAGCGTCAGATGAATATGTTCTAGTAATTTATTGACCTTTCTCTCGAAATTGCTATTAGTGATGTCCTTCAGATCGACCATCAGAAGACCGGCCGTAATTAATCCTGCACAATAGATAAGGATAAAAAGTATCAATATGAGAAAAGAACTTACCAAGCCAACCGGTTGGTTTCCAATTATGGGTAAGACGACAGGCAACGATGGGTACTCTTTGAGTCTTGGCAAATTGAAGTTCCTGTTGACAGTTTTCTGATGCTTGATACGTTGGAGTCATAAAACAAACAATGACACTTGCATTTTCTACACCTTCAGCCATACTAAATTACACACACAGTAATTAAAGTTGTTTTCATTTTTCTTTCTCATACCATTCATAGATATTAGCCTTCATACCACCTTGGATATCCATCCAAACAGAAAGATTATTCTTCTTCAAATACTGATAGATTTCTGAGACTAGTTTTTGATCATTCCATTGATAGGAAAGCATAACATGTTTCGATGAAGAATTTGATGAAACGGTCATTGCTCTATTTACATTCAATGTTGTACTCAGTTGTCAAAAAAGTATTCTGCGATGTTTACTTCTAAAGTTAATCAATTTTCAGTCGGTACAAATAATATGTTACTCAGTCAGTATGTGAAGAAAAACTTCAACATCATCTCAATACTCAATTCCATCGCTAACCAGGAGTGGATGTCAGCTTAAAAAATAATGAATATTCGAGACTTTTCCTCTGACTAGTATTTTACTCTTTTTTTCTGCTTTTTTTAAACAAAGGAGAAGAGAGTTTTGAACGCAAAAAGAAAAACTTGATGGAGATCGTTTCAATAACAGAATTGCCTGTGTTTGTCAAGAATGAAGAAAATTTTTCATGAATAAATAGAGTTGTGTTTTGCAACTTGCTTCGGCAATCAAAGACTTATTTTTGACAATCTTCACTCGTTTTGAATGCATATAAAATACAAAGAGAAATGAAAAGAAATAATTACATCATGTTTGCCGTTCTTTTCTTCTGATCGTTCTCGTAGTTGTTAAGACATACAAAAATAACAAAAATAAATAAATGCAACAACTCTTACTCAAATAGAAGAGAAAGATGTAACAACGGATACATGCTGCTATTTTAACAATTTACGTTACAGATTATACCTTTGCTATTTAAATACCTTTCTGCAATGGTTAAATCACATTGAAGGAGTCTAGAGAAATGAGTTTTGAATGATTGTCGAGCGAACTGTTTTTCGTGAGGGTGCGGGTATCATATTCAGCTCGCAACTACAGTCACACCTTTTTTATCACTTTCCTTCCGATTATAAACAAATTTTGAGGAGGAAACGACGCATATTTGCTCACTGTAGTGAGTTTTCAAGTCAAAATAGCAACAATATGTTGCATACTGGGCTTATTCATCGACATAGAAGTTACACTATTAGATTTCTGGAAACAGGTTCTGTAATGTTGTATCCAAATTGCTACTCTTATAGACTTTAACGCTCTATTTAGATCGTGTTTCACAAAATTCAATTAGTTGCGGTGGTAAACCAGTGGCGTAGCCAAGGAAGGGGCAAATGGGCAATTGTCCATTGTAATTTTTATGAGTAAGTTTTTGCCCATTGAAATTTTACTTTTTCAGAATTGTTTATTTATTTTTGAATTAGATAATAACTCGTTTCCTATTCTTCCGTCTGAATTACACATGTATTTTTGCTTGTTCTCCCTGTGAAGAATGATGAAACGACTCGCTTCTGGTATTTTCATCAGAGTTGCTAGATGAAAAACTTAAAAATCAGAAAAAAATCAGAATTTTTTTCTGAAATTGGAAACTAATCACAAAGAGTAACTTTTTGCAAACTAAGGGGTATCATGTTGACATACTTGCACCAAAGGCCTCACGTTTTTCTTTATTTATCGGCTCATACTTTGTTTTTAAAAGTATTTCATAGTAAAGAAAAACAACACAACCATTATATAGCTTAGAGTAAAAGATCATATACTGTAAGCTAAGGAGATTGATCATAGTTGAATCAAATGAAGACTCTCACTATCAAACCAACTAATTAAAAATATGAACTGCCAGTAGCGTACACACACCGAAGAGAAGTTTACAGTTTGTTATGTACATTCACTACTAAATTTCGTCAACGCTTAGTTTTCTTTTTTCGTCATGGTTGGATGGGACACGACCATTTACATAAGAAAAAACAATATCATGCATATTAAAAAGCAAATTCAACGAAGTCTAAGTCAAATTTTTTTTAATTGTAGGGGTAATAAACGAAAAATTTTAATTGCTGTCAAATTGCTTTTGAATGTGTATGATATTGCTTCTCCTTATGTAAATAGTCGTGTTCCATCCAACCACGATGAAAAAAGAAAACTAAAGGTTGATAAAATTTTGTACTGTGGGCACATGACAAACTGTAAATGTTTTAAAATTTAAACAATTCTGTCTGTGTACACTATTGGCAGCTCATGTTTTAAACTAGTTGTTCCGTATATGAGAGCATTCATTTAATGCGACTATGATGAATCTGCTTAATTTGTTGTAGCATGGTCTTCAATTGTTAGTTAACACAAAAAAATCAGGAAAAGACACCTAGTGTCGGATTCTTTTACAAAAACCAAAACTCTGTTTACGAAAAATATGCACAAAAAAAATCATATATATAAACAATGCAGATCAAAAAATCTTACGAAAAATAATAAAAGTTATAGAACATAACTTTTATATTATTTTTCAAGTTTTCCTTCGTTCAAAATTCCTTCAATAAATGTTTTTGAGCTAAAATATGTTTACAAAATCGTTCAAACAAAAAAATAATTAGCATTCACTCTTCAGTTCAGCAACGCAACAATTTACTGATATAGTAAAGCACTTGGCAGTGGCTGCAGAACTCAGAAACTACAAGAGATTAAGAAAGGAAAGAAGGTAGCAGAATATGAATCTATAATATTAATCGCTCACACTCATAATTAATTCTACTAGTACAGCCGCCATCTAAAAAAGTCTGAAATTCGGCAACAAATCAGAAAAATCAAAAGATCAGAAAAAAATCGGGCAAATGTTTAAATTTCAGAAATTTTCCTGACTTTTCAGAAGATCTAGCAAGCCTGATTTTAACTGTAAGTTTGGGTGAATGTGAGTTCGATTTTATTGGGAAAACACTATTCACATGAACGTAGAGAAGGGTAGATCAAAAAGAAGAGAAATAAGAGAACACACACGAACATATGTATGTCTACACATATATACATATAGAGTGACGTATAGAAGAGAAAGAAGAAATTCAATGACGTAGTTCGTAGAGAATATGTCTATGTGTGTTGTACAGATACATATTGGAAGAATCCTCAACACTAACTTATGCATGTGTTTTTTTATGTTATTAGTACTTTGTTGGGTGAAAAAAGTTTTGGCCTAATCAATAAAAACCTTGCCTATTTCGTCCATTGGTTTTTTTCGACACAAGAGAAGTTTGCCCATTGGTCTAAAAATCCTGGTTACACCGCTGTACAGCGATGATTTTAATCATCATCATCCTTTTATCAGCATGTGCGTATGTTAGATGATACATGTGATCTTGTGTTTTTTCTATTCGATTCTTGTGAAACAGTTGCAACGATGATTGACAACAACACAAAGATAATAATATAAATTATTATTATGTTAAACAAAATTGTTTTTGATATTGTTTTCTACTAGCACTAAGTAAAAACAGTTGATATTTTTGAATTATCAAAAGAAAAATGAATGAACAAGAAATTTCAAATATGTTTTTGGGCATTAAACTAGAAATCAAATATTTGATTCGAAATAGTTATTCTTTATCTATTAGTATTTTTGCATAACTTATTATGAATTTCATCTCCTGATTGAGACGATTTTCTTTATATTAGTATCTTTTTTTCTATCAGCTGTACATATAATATATAGACAAGCCCTTCTGTGCACATGTGCATGAATCAGAACGAAAACAAAAGATCCTTGAACAGGAGAGAGATAGAGAGAACAATAGATTCTTGCTATTTTGGCTGGGACATCTATTTTCAAAAATTCTGCTGAGAACTTGACCAAACTCTTTCGAGAAAGTTTATGACTCTTGTTCAGTTTTTTTGTGCTCTTTCTAATGATGTAATTTTTATCAACTCTGTACGGAATAAAAAATTTCGAATCAGTTGATATGCATATAGATTATTTTATTTTTTAAAAGAATTGTCGAAAACTTTGAAAGAGAATATAATGAATTATCAAATTGTATACATTTAAAGATAATAGTTGAGGAGCATTATTTCGAGGTGTTGTAGTCGAAGTAGATGTTGATATAATTATAATACTTGTTGATGTACTTGTAGGAATTGTTGATGTGGTTGTAGTAGTTGTCGATGTACTAGTAGTAGTTGGTATGAGAGAACTACATTGGTCAATTTCAATATCATCGAAAGCAACAGCTGTTAATACTGGTTCGAGTCGATAAACATCAAAATAGAATGTTATTGCATTAGCAACTTTGTTTAAAGGTACAAGAGCTACCTGCCATCCTTGACTATCATCTAATGATCGATACCATAATCCTGTACTAGAATATCCATCACCAGATAGACGAATTACTGTTGTATTCTTATTAGCTAGTTTTGATTTGACATAATAAGCAAATTTAATACACATACCAGTATTTTGCTCAATTGTTTTTGACAAATATACACGACCTCTATCGGTTGTATTGACTGGCAAATGTTGATACCAGTAAAGAAAACCACCAAATGTTGAATTATTTGTATGATCTCGAGCTGGACCAAGTTGTTGATCAGGTATTGTTTGACCAATAAATATCGTAAAATTAAATGTAGAAGTCTTTTCATCGTTAATCATATCACACATTGTCAAATCATCAAAATTGCATGAGAAAGAAAGAAGAGAATTGTATGAAACAGATGAAGGAGGATAGTCACATGAAGTAATATCAAGATTATCAAGAGCAAACGAGTATGTAAAAGGAGTATCAGTATCCACACGAAAAAGAAGTGAATAATTACCAACTGGTAAATTAATAATACCCCAAGCCCTAATATAGTAAAGAATTACATCAGTTAATAATTTTATTCCTAAGATATGCATCACATTTGAGACTCTTTCATTCCCATTGTTTTAGCAAAGTAAACAAATGCAAGAAAGTCTAAGTCTCAGTTTTAGGTTCTTGCCGAAAATGAATTACAAAATAATATTCCAAATTTCTATATGTTAATATTGTATCCATTTATATGATTTGAATAATTCCATAAAGGTGTGTTAGAGTCTACTAGAACCTAACATGGACTTGTTTTGTGTATGATTTTCGTCCTTATCCTTAACAAAATCATATAGAGTATCATATTCCTTGATAGACTTTGGTGGTCTTCACAGAAACTATTGAAACAAATTGATATAAACTGAATTACTTTGTAATTTATTTCCGTCATCTAATGACTGATTTAGTATTAACTATCATTTTCTAAAGATGCAAGAATGAGCAAATTAAAAACTCTAATAAGTAATACTAGTCGATTCTAATGGTTTTTATACTAAACATGAAAATAAAATATCTGTTTTGACAGCGTAAACTTACCACCGACCACCCACTCTACAAGTAAAAAGAAAAATTTTAAATTACAATGGTTCTTTCAAGATTACTTACATGTAATAACTTGATCTTTCTCCAGGCCATAACATTTGAATTGCTTTAGATTCATCTGAAGCCCATGAATAAATTTTCAAATAACTTCTATCACTTGATGGATAAGCATAATATTGAAAATTTAAACAGTAAGATTCTTGAGATGTTACTTGTAATTGTTTTTGTAAATGTAGATAACCAACTTTACCATTATCGATTGTTTTGGAAACCGGTACAAATGCATAATGTCCTGATTCATTTCCAAATGTATAATCAGCAGATGGAGCAAAGAATTCAATTCTTTTAGCGTCACTCACATTTGATATTAACCATTCATATGGATATTTAGGTAATGAAATAAAATTGTTTGAACACGATGATTCGAAATCACAAGTAAATAAAACTTTAGGAGGTGAAGGTCGTGGACCATCACAATAATCTACAGAAATATCATCAAATGCTAAGTGTTTCTGTGTCAAATTTGTTTGAATAGATATTTTGATTTTTTCATTTGGTAATTTTACATCGATTAATGTCCAATCAACAGTTGAAACATTCTTATCGAAAACTGAAGCGAGTGTACGTATCAGTTCTACTCCCTCACCTTGTATAACTTGAACACTAAATAGAAAATTTATCTGAGAAGAATAATACCATACTCGGAAGCATAACGGTCGATCAGTTGAAGGTTGTAACCAATTCTGTGTTCTAATTTCGAACCCTCTTGTACCAGGACTTGGATTGTAGAAAACATAATGACCAGCCTGTATATTTAATGTATGATCATGATCGATAGGTTGAGGATGATAACCATCGGTTATAGCCCAATAACCATACAAAGCAAAATCATTACAATTTGTTTCAAAATCACAATTAAGAATAGTGCCTTGATTCAGAAATGTTTGACAAAGAAGAGTGAATAGAATAAGTAACATTGTGATAAGTGAAGAAAAACGAATAACTTTTTACATTTCGATACTAATATAGAAGAAGTTATCTGAGTAATGATGCCTATGTTGTGCAATAACAGACACACCATGTCATATATGATAAAAATGAAATAGAAAGATAAGGATAACACTTGTTCATGAGACGCAATTAACAATATCAGTGAAAAAAATGATGTATCATTCTAAGTATACAAGAAAGAATAGATATAGAACAATAAAAGTTAAAATGAGATCCTAGTAATAATTTTTTCATTTGTTCCTCTTTATAAATATTTTCTATTCCCTAGACTGAAAGGCTAGAGTCTAGAAACCGAAATTCACCTGTGTCTGTAACATGTGGTACCAATGACCATTTTCATGGTACAAATGACCCCTATTTTGGTACCGATGACCATTTTTGTGTTACACATGACCATTTCTGTGGCACAAATAATCCCTCGTCTGGTACAGATGACCATTTTCACGGCACGAGATGCCACCTTTTTCGTACAAATGACCATTTTCTTGGTAGAAAGTACCGCAGTCGTGGTACAAGAGACCACAGTCGTGGTACAGAGGACCATATCAGTGGTAGAAGTGACAATATGGATGCTACAACTGAGTATATTGCGGATACAAGTATCCAAAATCATGGTAGAGGTGATCATAGTTTTCCCTTTAGAGAATATTGAAAATTCTATTCTTCATTTTTGACTTCTTTCCAATAATAATTATAAAGAACGTGGTATCTTTTTTTGAATTCTGTTGGCATATAATATAGAGAGTTCGATGTTTGATTCGTAGGTTTTTACTTACGTGGTACATAAAATTCTTTTTTATCTGCCTGTATAAAAAATTATATGTTGAACTTTTATATAAACAAAATTCATGAAATGCTATTATTGACTTTGGACGTTTTATATAAATAATTGGAAAAGTCCTATTTTTTCACAAAATAAAATATTTTTTTCATTATAATCTTTCGATGATTTCTTTTCATGATAAATTGAGATTGATGGTTTGTCTATTGCCATATTATATTTTTGTTTGGATTAGATGTAGAACAGTTTTTGCGAGCATGTGTCGGCATACAGGTTTGTTCGTTTGAAAATTAATTCTTTTGTTTATCATAAGACTCGAATTAGGTTTATTTTTAATTAATACAAAAAGAATGACCATCTCTAATATATATTTTTGAGTAGGTCAGTTCAAGCCTTTGTGAAACAGTTACATATGGCCGTAAAAGATAGTAGTCATGGCACGTATGGGAAACTTACGATAAATATTAATGTAACAAATCTGAGACCAAAATTCCTTGTAAGTTTTTTCGTATGATTTTGTAGGATAATATCCGATATTCATGCAAGATTGGATGGAAACACAATCTGAATCTCATCTTTACATCGTATTAGTTGACCTGCGTATTAACCATTGAGTCAAGCCTTCAAAACCATATATAAAACGGATACAGATTCCTATATGAATTTTACATTATTATTTCACTAGTAGAGAAATGATTTTCTTAAGGTAGATCCACCTGAAAATGTAATAATATGTCTATGCCCAGTAATCCAGTCTAGGGTCAAGCATATCGACTCTCGATTGGCGTTACTTGTATGATAAGCAACAACTAGAACTTGTAACACTATATGTTAACATCTTGTGTTGACTACATATATCCCTTCCTGTCTACCTTATCCCCTAGCTCATTTTTATTCGAGAGAGTAGAAAGACTTTTTCTCACGATTGTATATCATTCCTCTTCTCTTGAATAATATGGTATCGAAACTTTTTCTCTTTTCTCTCTTTTAAAAGCGAAAATATATATATATGTGAGTGAAATGCATGACCAACGAAAAGAATTAAGTCAGTCTTTTCTTTGGTTGCTTATAATTGGAGAAAAAATAGGTAAGTTCGCATTAAGTCGTTTCATCCAGTTTCAAAAATTAGTCGTTTCTTATTATATGTCTCTTTTTCTTCAAAAGATAGAAATATAGCTCATTATTCGCCTACTTTCGAAACAATTTCTTTCTTGTTCGATCCTGATATTCCATTCGGCTCACGAAAAAAAGAAACATTACTTTTTTTCTCTCTGCAATTACTAGTTCTTTCATCTTCATCTATTCACTTGTGCTTCATCTTATTTAAAAAGTAGTTGCCTCGGCTAGCTGTCGGCTTCAGTTCAGGCCCATAGTTATAATCCATGTACAGTTCAGTATAAGTAATGCGGATGTATATCCACAAAAAAACGTTTTTGAAAAAGAATCGCTGTAAACTGTGGTTTTTTGAATTCCATCGCAGTATCATTCAACGGAACCGCGATTTGCTTATCGACAACCACGATACCTGTTATTGCGATGCTTACTGGTTTCATACACTGCGGTATGCTGACTGACAACCGCAATATCAGACATCGTGGTAATCTTACTGAGAACTGTAGTATCGGATATCACGGTGCTTATCGATTTCATGTGGTGCGGTATGCTTATTGACAACCGCGGTATCAGATATCGCGGTAATCTCACTGGGAATCATGGCATCGGATATCATGGTATTTATAGGATTCATATACTGCGTTATGTTTATTGACAACCATGGTATTGGATATCGCAGTGGTTATCGGTTTCTGATATCGTGGTAGTTTCTGGTTTCATATATTGCAGTATGCTCATTCACGACTGCGGTTTTGAGTATAGATGGTACATCACCAGCACTACAAAATGCCCCAATGTTCCCTCGTGAAAACTATTAGGAGACACAATACACTTTTTCTTGAATCCTGAAATTTTTTGAAGCGTCTTTTTTATACTAGCGTAACACTAGCCACTCCAATGTATATGTATATATTCAGAACGAGTTTGTGCGTACTGTAGAAAATTGATTCATAGTTATATTATTTTTTTAATTATTATTCTGTTAATTATGATCCTATTTATTATACTTCTCGTTGCACATACCTAAGATTTGCTCGCTTAAGCAATAAGAAATTGAAATGTTGATTGTTTTGAAATCTTTTCTTTCATAATTCACGATGTTTAAAGGTTTCTGCTGGGCGACGACCAGTAGTCTAACTGTAAGCTATCTCACCACGGAAAATATTTTGTAGAAAATCTTTGTAAAGCGTGATTTTTCGAATCCTACCTCGATATTATTCAAGAAAACTGCGATTTCGCTTTGATAGTCGTAGTGCTTAATATCTCTGCGAACGGTAGTTTTAGAAACCGCGTCGGCCCTAATTCTAATCACGTTATCTAACCTTGTAGTTTTTTAAAGCATCAAAAGTTCACTACATCGCTCCTCGAAGGACAACTCACCTTGACTTTGAAAAGACTTTAGGTGGGTCTGATATCCTGAGTCAAGTCGGCTGATCCAGGTATGCTTAGATTAACCGTGGTATATCGTGGTCTGAAAAAAACTGCGGTTTTTACTGATTGTAAGTGACTGCAGTTCATCGCGGTTTTTCTTCAAAAATTTTCCCCCCCGATATTGTGCGTATAAGAATAACCACACTTAACTGAGGTAAACCTAATATTGTAACTTAAGTAGAACATTCGTCAGCAATTGCAATTCGAATTGTAATTACTTATTTTAAGTGTTAGAAACTTGTTAGATGATTGCTCGTTCCCATTCTCTCTAGCTAATCCGTGTGTTGTTCTCAGTTTTTAAAATATTTACTCATTAAAGAATACAGTTTGTCAGTTATTTTTAATATGAAACTTGAGTTTCTTAGTATACAAAGAATAGATATTAAATCTTCTAAAGCCAAAATATTTATTGCTTTACTGTTATGTAATCAGATATTGTAAATGACATTTGAGAATTTAACTACCCAACATGTGAGACAGAAGAAATTCATATTGACATTTTTCAAAAAAAAATAGAATATTTGAAGTAGAAAGGCAGATAGAAAAAATGAGGTTAGATTTCGGTTTTCGAGAGAATTAGTAGAAATTATTTTATGGTATGAGAAGGTAATGTCGTCCTAAAAGTTACTATAAATCTTCCTCTAGTAATTACTTTTCTGGGATCGATACGAAGCATTTACAGGATGTCAAAAAATTTTGTACTTCAAAATGTTTTTCGAATAACTTCACTATTGATTTAACTTTATCGACTGATTTTCTTTCGTATGATAAGTGACATCGTCAAGATTTTATTTCTATAGACAATCATTGGCAGTTCTCTTTAAAGCAATTACGATTAGCGAAGTTACAAAAATTCAATCTTTTTCTGATTTCATAGTAATATTTTGCAACGTTTCTTTTTCAACTATTTGACTTCGGACTTAATATTATCCGATTTCTTTTTACGAAAAAACATCAAAACAAATTTATATAAAACGACTGTTTGAGATTTGAACTATTCAAAAATCAGAATTAATCTAGAAATTGAAGTAACTAAAAAAGAAACATTGCGAAATACTATAATGGAATAAAAAAAAAATGTTGAATTTTTGTATCTTGGTTGAAGGTAATTACTTTGAAGAGCACTTTAATAATTTGTCTATAGAAATAAAAACTTGATCTTGTCACTTATCATACAAGGAGAACATTTGTCCATTCATCATTTAAATAAAACATTTATTCATTGCTATCAGGTTTCTTTCATGAAAAATCTAAAAATCGTTCTAACACATTTTTGACGATTAATCAAACATTTTTAATAGTTTATAAAGTGACATGTTGAAACACTGTTTTGGTCGTTAACGTGTTTACTTGAGTTGTTATACATGAACATATAAAAGCACTTATGCAGAAAAGTAACCTTTATGAAGAATCAAAGCTATATGAAAAGTGCGTATGTTCTTTTTTGCTTCAAATACCCTAAATAGTCTATTTATTCCATAATGAATATCACAAGACGAGTTGAAAAGAATTTTCTTTTTATAAAAATTCATTTGTACACCTTTAAAACGAAATGCAAACTGCATTGGTTAGTTGTATATATGATATAAGGAAAAGTTACATTATTTAAAATAATAAAAAACAATGTTAAGTCAATGACTTTACTTATTTCATACCCCTCTTTTTACATTTTAAATGAACTAATTTTTCTTCATTTGATTTAATGAAGAACTATTCTATTCTTCAAGAACTATTTGTAAGAATCACGCGACAACGATTTATACATTTTTTTATTTCATGAATATTTCTAATTGTTTTTACCAACAAATTACAAAGAATATGAACAAGAATATCTTTGATGTTATAAAATAAGCCTTTGATATTTGTATTTATGTATGATGTCGTTCATGCTTGATTAAAAATTTGATATTTTTATGATAGATATATATAAATTAATAATCATTAGCGTTTTTTTATTTTAAGAATTTATTTTTACTTTGTCGATTTGGAAGAATGGCAAAATTTGCTGCAACTGATGGTGCATTTGAAAAAATTGATACAAATCGAGATGGAAGGCAAGAATTAAGAATTTTTATCAAAATAATAAATTCATATATACATATTTAGGATTGATAAAAATGAATTTCGTAAATGGATTTCAAATGCAGAAGGATTGCCTTCTTCATCATACGAATCGTCAACTAGTGGATTTAATCTTCGTGATAATACTACTAGTCGATTTGATCGAGATAAATATACTTCATATGGAACTACAACAGGAGCTAGGGGGTTGATTGATGATACGGTGATAAATACAAATAGTTTGGAAGAAACGAATGCATATCTTGCAAGATCAGCTAGTAATATTTATAGGGATCGTAATCCACAAATTATTCGGCGAGCAACAACTGAACGTCCAGTAACATATGAACAACGAGTTGTTGTTAAATATCTTCAACCACCACCTGTTCCAGAACCAGGAGTAACGAAACAAATGTTTACAAAGTCAATCCTACTAATTTTTATATCATTTTAGCCACTCATCGTAAAAGAAGTGCGTTCAGCGCAACCACCACCACCTCGACCACTTATCATACGCCAACATGCATCACGTGTTCCTTCACCACCTCCCCTTATCTTACGTGAACGGCCACCAACACCACCGCCATGTATTCCCAGTGAAACAGGTTAAAAAAAACAAATCTAAATTACATAGATTAGATTGATCAATGTATTTTATTTTACAGTTACTCGTTGTTTACCTGCTCTACCTGCTCCACCACGATCAGTTGTCATCGAACGTTTTCCACCTCTTCCAGCAAAACCACGTAAAAGAATTATCTTCAGTTTCCTTTTTTTTTTCTTAAATTTCAGATTGTTGTTGCTTTGCTACTTAGGCGATATTATAATTGAACGATGGATTCCCTATGGACCTCAATCTGAACGTCGTACAATTGTTGAACCTGCTCCTCCTGCTATAAAATATCCAGAACCGCGTAATATAATTATTGTGTATGGAGCTGTTGAAACACGTACAGCCCGAAAATTTCAAAATCTTGGAGCTATTAAAGAAAATCCTGCCGATTATATAGCTCGTTATGGACAATCACTTTTACGTTCAGAAACACTTATTCAACAGGCTCGTAATGCTGGTGTTATTGAAGATATAGTAAAATTTTTTCCAAAAAAATACATCCTCAACAAAAAAAATAAATAAACTTTTTATTGTAGTCGCCTTCGACACTATCATCTTCAATATATACAAATACACGCGGAAATACTGATTTCGATCAGTCAAATGAAATAGTCAATCGAGGTTTTTTATTACCGGGTGGAACTAATTGGGAAGGAAGTCAACTAGCTATTGGTACGCAAACTATTGATCGTGGTAATAGAAGTTATGCATCATCAGCATCAAAGTTGATTCGTGAAAGTAGAAGCCAACGTGCATTTCATGGTAGTGATGGTAGTATTATCGCTATAAGGATATAAGAAAGTATATCTCATCTCCCTTTTTTTTTATTTTTTCGTTCCGCTCTTCTATCATATAGAGATGACATTTTCATATATTTTCTTTTCTCACCTTTCTTGCGTTCATGATATATTCCATATAATCTGTCTTCTCTTGATATAGCTGTAGTATTTTCCATCTCGTATTTTTTTCCCTTAGTGCCTTCATATATATAATCGAAAACAAACAGAATTTCAATGATATGCTTAAAACATTATTTATATAACATTCTTTCGCTTTCCACTTAAATACATTTCTTTCTTTCACTTTTTTTACAATGAAATATATAAACTATATAATAAAAGAAGGAAAAATAAAAAATAAAAAAAAGACTGATAAAACACTACTGATACTACTATCAGCTGAATCACGTTTTCTCGTTTATCATATTAGAGTGTGGATGTAAAGAGAACCAACACTCACACATACACCCACATTCACATCCTTGCACAGCACGTCGACAATCAATAAGAAAGTCGCTCGTAATTAAAACAATAAATATCTATTGAAGTTGTTGAACACCATATTGTGGAAAGGTGTGAATGTGTACGAAGATAGGAAGACACTCACACCCTGCCGTCGTTACATTATTATCCAGTTTGAATGAATCAGGATTATGAATATAAATAGCACTTGAACATATGACTAATATACTATACAATATATAAGAAAATACTTCATTTGTTTCACATCTGAGAATAAATATTAACAAGTGAATGAAACTCAAACATGATTTTTTTCATTCATCTTTAATTGTCTTATATCTAATTTTAAAGCATTAATGATTCATCTGAAGACTTACTCACAAGAAAAAAAGAATGTGGTAGGCTAACTGCTTACATAACTGATCATTAAATTTTTGCCGTCTCTTAAATGTGATTTTATTTTTGATGCATCTATATCACCTTGTTTAGCTGCATGCTCTTTGTCTAGTCTATCTATATTTATATGAATCTCTGTCCACAAGATAGAGAAGATTTATTATAATATCTTTCATTTGTTTGACTTTTTCGAATAGATGTGTGAAGTTGCTAAATGAACGACGAAAAATTTAGGACTTTTGCTACTCAGTAGTGCAATGATCGATTGACTTCTACTAGGTCCAATAAAATGTTGAAACAAGTTATCGTTCACAACTGTAGTTTCTTGACAATTATATCATATTCATAAATGACAGAATTCTATTTGATTTGAGCATAAAATTCAATACTAACATTTATAAAAAAAAACAAAACATTAGTCTAATTTTTCTGTTTGAAATAGCTAGTGTTGTGTTTATTTAAGGATTGCAAAATCATTCATTTTCTGACTCAGCATTAATTACAAATGAGCTAATACGATTGTACGAAATAATAAAGACATAATATTATATTTAGTCTGGTTTCAATTCTAAAATACTCCAATGGTTTTTTTTGTAAATCAGTTTGTCTCTAAAGACGACGCACGTGACTATTCTGCACAATAACTATTCTTTTTCTTCTCTATGAATCGATTCATGTGTATTCACTTTCTTTCTCCAGGGTAACTACTTAAGAAAGAGAAAAAAACAACTGCAGCGAACGAAAACGCACATTACGAGACTCTCATGCGCTTCACAGTAAGTGAATACTTACCATTCATGTCGACATGTGCACACTCATTTCTTCACATCTTCCACATTTTACACCATACTTTAGCTCAACTTTTTTGTACGAGAGATGTCATCAAGATATCACCACTGTTCATATATAACAATAAATTATCACTCTCTCACATACGTCTCCTTTCTGCGTTGGAAATAAAAGGTCTGAAGCCTTCTATAATCACGGGGCAAAGATAATTTTCAGATGGAGATGTTTTTTTTTTATGAACCGAATGAGACTGAATGTGAAACGTTACTTTTAGGATCAGATATAATCATTCCAACCAACAACTAAAACAATGATGGAATCCAATGATAAGTCGAAAACGAAGTACGAAACCAGTGATCTGATTGTACAGTCTGATATAGCTAACAAGTATCTCATTCCTGCAGAGAGAAACAAAAAGATAATTGTCGTCAAACAACAGATTGATTTCCGTCCTGTCCGAAGGTAAGAAAGATATTTCTGAATTCATCATAGTGTTATCAGTTGATTTTATCACATTTCTAACATATAGCTGTCTGGAATCATTGCCAAATGAACTGTTATTCATGATCATAGCTCATTTGAGCTCATCTGATCTTATTCAAGCCTTTTATGGTCTCAATCATCGATTCGATTTGATAGTCTGTGAATTAACTTGTCACTTCACCATTTCCAAAGATACTTCGGAAGTGAAACTTGGCGAGTACAAACCGCACATCAAAAATGTTATCGAAAAGATCTCTTTTGATGTGCAATTATTGCCGCAAGTCTTTTCATCTACATACTCTTACTCGAACCTTCGTTCAGTTGTACTTAGCTGTTCCAATTTCGCTACTGTCGACCTGAAGATCGATTGTGATTCTGCAAAGAATGCTATTCATTCATGTTTGGATGTACTTCGAGTCTGCAATATTCTTCCTGTCGACTGGAATAACGGTAACTTGTTCGGTGATAGTGAATGTCGCTCAAGATCAGAACGAGATGTTCAGGTGCGTATTTCAAAACATCTTCAGATGTTTGTCACTCCAACAGTCATGAATTTTAGGTAGAAACAATGCGGTACAGATTAGCCTGTGCAGCTATTATGCGATTATCTATTTATAGCTGTTCTGAACAAGGTTTACTTTTTCTTTGTGTTCTTGCTCCCAATTTGATCTATTTGAGAATCAAGCAACTTGTCTCTACTGATGATGATTCGAATTTCAATTCTATCTTGGCTCTGATTCCACGATCATCTCCTCTGAAACAGTTGCACATTGCTTCTACTACCAATCGCTTGAATGATATTCATTTGGTCGGAAGACTGATCGATTGCTATCAATCATCTCTCGAACACTTGACTTTAGAGATCTCCTTGAATAATCGACCCGATGGATGCCATTTGCAGAGAATACTCGAACCGTGTCGACATCTCCAGAAATTTACATTTGCTTTCAACTACTGGCATGAAGAAACTGAAGAAAACGATGCATTGCACCAATTTCAGAGTGACTGGTGGCTTGATTCTCATCGACCACCAGTGCTCATTTTCTGCGGCAATCATTGTGAAACTTTAATTGTCTCTATGCCTTGTTATCTAGATGATTATATCTGGTTTCCAATCGATCCTAAAGATTGGCTAGTGAATAAGGGTCAGCTCGATTCACCCGATATTCGCTTCACAAAACAAAAGTGTATTAGATTTGCTAACAGTACTCATCAGCCGATCACTCTCGATTTAGTACACATAATTGGTCATGTATTTCGAGCACCAAAACAAGAACTTTCTATTCCACATTGGGCATTTGTCTCGCCAGACCTCCTTATCGAGCAGGTTAGTTTCTTTTCTAATTTTCTTCTGCACTATCTGGAAGTGAAGAATATCTAATTCTAGCTAGAGAAAGACGTTCTCACTCGAACGATTTTTATACTGGATGACGCAAATCTAGTTGTTAATATTCTATCATTTCTTTGGTCTCGAAATGTCTTTTTAGATCGGTCTTAGAAAGTACGAAAACAGTTCTTCCTTAAAATGCCCTCGGGATTCGACCCACATTACTGTAACATTCGATAATAATTTACATAGTCGGGCAAGTATTATTTGAAGTTTTCATCGCTCAGTGAAAAAGAAAGCCAAGAGGTCATGACAAATTTGTGCTAGGCATGATTATGTATCCTCTAAGATCTACTAAAATTGAAGACCAATTCCCACTTCTTCATCTTATTGATTGTTCTTCAGTTGATCAGCGCAAGATCCAGAGATCAAATGTTGCCTATGGTCTATTCTCTCGATTTAAATTCATGTAATCTCGATCAGTTGGATGCGAAGACACTCATCATATGGCTTTTATTGGCATCGAATGTTAAAGTACTGAATGTGTGTCAAGGAACCATCAGTGCTAAAATACAGTTGGCAAATCGATTGAAAGCACTGCTTGAAGAAGATAAACGTCTCAAGTCCATTACAGACTCCATTGAAGAAGTTCATGTTTTTTATATGTTTGACTCTATTAATTATGCTACGAAACAGCATGTTTGTCAAATGTACTCGAATATCTTTCGAAAACCTATTATTCGTCGTTGATTACAGTTTGAGAATGTTCACAATTTTTCATATCATCAGATCCACATGAAACTCTTGTATTGATCTTTCGTAGTTGTTTCTAATATTTTTTATAAAAACATTGAAATGGATTTATTTCATGATAACACCCAGCACGTACTTCTATTTCTAAACGATAGAATCAAATCAAGATATCAAGTATCTTTTCCTAATCAAAGTCAGTATTCGTCGATAGTGACGTGAGATCCCATTCAATATTTTCTAGGTTTTGATCTGATATTGTCGATCATTCAACCTAATTTATTCACTCGATCGATTTAAAATATTGAAATGCAAAAAATCATTTTGACGATAGATGTTCATATGTGCAGAGATATTTAGGGTGATGTCTAAAATGCTTAAAAAATCCTGAATGACGATACAGATTCTTCTAAATATGGTGGATAAAAGAGATACATAATCTACGTAGATAAAGGATGCAAGAAAGACGATCTTTCATTGAACTAAATTTATATCTTCTAGGAATTCTTTGAGATCCATGTTTATCAATTTGAATATCATGTCTAATGATTTTTGTCGACTAATACTAAGCCAAAGGATATGAGAGAAGAAGATATGTTATGATAAATGAAAATGGATATGATAATCTGATGATATTTGAATGAAACTGAATTTTCCTTGTCTATGATCATATTGCACAAACTTCTTCTAAATTCATCCTCACATTAGAGTACGTTGATGGTATGCTTTTTCAGCCCAGAGCGTCAAGAGTACGATCTTTTAAGAATAACGTGTTATGGACACATTAAAACTTTCAAAAGCATTTTTACGA